GTCGGTTGCTACGAGGCTCCTGATTGGTCGGCTGCTGCAAGGCCCTGATTGGTCGGTTGCTAGGAGGCCCCTGATTCGTCGGTTGCTAGAAGGCCCTTGATTGGTCAGCTGCTACAAGGCTCCTGATTGGTCGGTTGCTACAAGGCTCCTGATTGGTCGGTTGCTACGAGGCCACTGATTTGTCTGCTGCTACGAGGCCCTTGATTGGTCGGCTGCTAGGATGCCCTTGATTGGTCGGCTGCTAGAATGCCCTTGATTGGTCGGTTGCTACAAGGCTTCTGCACGTGCAGGAAAATGTTAAAATTACACCCAGCAGCGCCATGGTTACTATCATGCCTGCCATCTGCTGTACTCATTTTATTACATTTTACTTCTTATATAGTCCAACCAATAAGCACATAAAAATGGGCACATTGTGCACTTTTGGTTACAATTGTGAAACTTTGCACACGCATAATTCAATAGATCCTGAAAATTTTCTGATAGAGAGCCAATTGAACAGCGCCACTTGGTGGCGCACAGCGCCCCTGGCGGGTTAACGGGTATTTTGTTACACCACTCTTTGGGTTTTGGCTATAATTTCAATAATACATATCCAATTTATTCAAGAAATAGCTCGAAACATTCGGGGATATCTATCCTAATATTATAGAAACAATTTATTGAGTGTGGTTATCTTTAAGTTGTAATAAAATAAGGTTGAAACAATGAAATGGTTCAAAAATGAAAATTTTCCACTAGTATATTAAATGACCGATATATCAAAAATGATCTAGTCTGCATGCATAAGCATGCTATATGTCAAAATGTTTCTTATTTAGTTGTAAAATACACTATGGTAACAAGACTGCAGTGACGATAACTTTTGACATCATCTGAGCTATTTCTTGAATAAATTGGATGGGTATTATTGTAATTATAGCGAAAACCCTAAGAGTGCTATAACGCAATACCCGTTAACACGCCAGGGGCGCCGTACGTCACCAGATGGCGCTGTTCATTTGGCACTATATCAGAAACTCTTCAGGACCTCATGTAGTATACATGTAAAAAAAGTTTCACAATTCTAACCAAAAGTGCACAATCCATGTGTTTATCCGCTGGACTAGAACGCGTGGTGCTGTTGATGTCATTACTCGCTGTTTATGTTCACGTTGGTTGTAAGTCCACCGCAATCTAGTTGTACGCCTAGTGTAGACGTTTGTTGATCCTGGTTGAGTGTCGATACGTACAACAGCGAGCGCTTCTTATCAAGCGATTATATTGTAGCTGACGCTCAAACGCCTTATATACCTGTCCTCTAGCCAACAGACAGTCCCAATTCAAAGATGCTAACACCAACCAATTTACGAGTCTCGTCGTCTAGTGCAATAACATTAGCAAACATCTAGACGCGCAAATATGCCTTTATCGTCATACAGCCTTTAGCCCCTCTCTCTCTCTCTCTCTCTCCCTCTCTCTCTCTCTCTCTCTCCCTCTCTCTCTC